TTAAAAGGTTCTCATAACGTGCCACCTTATAAGAGAGCTCAAAGAAGTCTCTGAATTCCATCCCCTCAAACTTCTTTCGAAGTTCAATGTCTAAACCATTCTGAGCAAGCTTCACGAACTCTTGCTCTGGTAAGGCAACATGACACTTCATTCGGGCTTTTCTAAACCGCATAAGATAATTTTCTGAAGATTCCCTTGGCTCGTTGAGTTAATCTAGAAAGATCAGCCATGGATATCTCAGGCTCTGAGCGGTAGAATTGAATATGAAACAAATCTTCCATTTGTCTCCAGGTGAACACAGAATTTTGCAGCAGACTTAGATACCATGTCAGTGCGGTACCAGTTAAAGAACTTGGGAAGAGTCTCAACTTCAAAAAATCATCACCCGATGCCTCCCCACATTGAATAGTGAACCTACCAATGTGTTCAATGGTTGACTGGCTTGTATCCCCAGAAAACAAAGTAAATTCAGGCACTTTGAATCCACGAGGAAATGGATTATCCCGATCTATGTAATCTGGATACGGCTTGTGATAGGAAGGACGAACCAATGGTCTCAGAGCTGAACCATATGTCTCCTGGACTAGATCAATCAATTGATTTCTATCCAAGGGATGAGCTGCTGCTTGTAGCCCTAGTGGTTGAAAAACATTATTTTGCAAATTGGGCTGTGGGATAGCATTTGGACGCCGTTCAGGGGGTACATATCTTTGCTGATTGGCGTTGAACTGCTCAGCTGCACACGAAATGCTGCTTCCACAGGATCTTGTGGTCCAAGGATGCCACCAGCAAGATTGTTTTGTTGCCGCCTATTGAATTGCACCTGGCCTGCACCAAGAGCATTATTTTGAGCATTGGGCATTTGTTGCACCACCTGTGGCTGATTAATATGCCCCCCGTGCCCCCCGGGCAAAGGATCTGGAAGATTTTGCTGTGGTAATTCCATTGCTGGAGGTACGGGTTGCCTTGGAACATTTTGTTGCTGTCGAACATGTTCCATGGTTCTCTCAGAAACTGCAGTGAAGGTTCTGCGACTTTCTGCTACTTTTTCTCGAATAGCTCCAGAATTGTCATGAATGGCCCTTTCAATAACATTCAAAGATTGAGTGAAATGATCTGAATGTTGTCGTTGGGCTTGTAGAAAGCTTTGTAGACTGCACTCCATGTTCTGATTAGCTTCTTCTTGTAGCTTCCTTATCTGCTGAAGTTCTTGAGATATTTTATTGCTTGACTCAACAGAATCAACATTCTCCTCATCATCATTGCGATATATGGGATTGCCATATGAGCGATCAGCCAAGGGAGAAATAGGTGGAAGGTGCTTCGGACTATTTTCACCTTGAGAATGTCTTCGACTCATAGGAGCAATTTCCACTTGCTGTGCAACTTCTTTTCCAACTCTCCTAGGCATGGCTATGGCTGCTTTATGCCCAGGAAAAGCAAAGAGTGGATTAAAAAACGTTTCTTGATACATGATCGCCAGGAGGTCCCACTGGGTGTGCCAAAAAGAGATTGTTATCCCAAAAAATCTCCTTGACACGTGGCAGATGAAATGGCGTGCCACTTGCTTTGCTCAAAACAAGAAAGATTTCTCCGACGACCCTCTCTTCTTTCCAAGCGTGGAACTCAGCTTGTGAGTTGATGGAAGAACGTCGTAAATTGCACCTTAAAGATCAGACGATTGGCAGAAACGAGGGATGAACTTTTTGCACTAAATGAGTTATACGACAAAATGCCCTGGATATGATTCCAAGGACTCCTCAAAGCTAATGTAATCAAGAAAAGTTAAGACTGCAAGGTAAATAAATGATCGCTAAACTACTGAAAATCTAAATGAACTTTAAATATGCAAATTGAATTGAAACAGAGCTTTAAAAGGAAATTTAATTGCAGCAAAAGTAAATTAAGTTAAAGTAAATAAAACCCGAAGCATGAAAAATCTACTAGCAGCATGAAATGTAAATTAACAGAAATGGAACTGAACATGAAATTAAATGTCGACATCATTTGATTAAATTAAAGAAAATCTGGAAAACAAATAAAAAGGAAAGGAAGCAATCCGATTACAAAGAAATATTACTGAAGGCAGCGAAACTCACCATTACAAATGCGACAAAAGAAGAACCGAATTGCTAAACTAATCTAGGTTGAAGCGTAGAGCTAAAATTAAATTAAAGAGCTTGAAACTAAGATGAATCTGAGCATAAAGAGAAATTGTGCTGAGTTTGTTGTGTGAGATGTCGATCCTTTGCTTGATCTTATTATTAGGTTTTTATAGCACCTTGGCAGCATGGTGGAGATCTGCGGCAGCATCCTAAAAGACCAACGGCAGCATAATATCTGCAACAAATTGATTAATTTGTTGGTGCTGCGATTATCCTCCTGAAAGCTTGCAACAAAAGAACGGTTTTGCTGCCGTTGTAGAAATAACCACTCAATTGAAGAAATCCACACCAACTTCCAACTAATAAAATATCTGCCATCATGGGTGACACGTGGCAGCACTCCATTTGTTGTAAAATTAGGTGTAAACACTTTAGTTGAAAAATAATTGAGATAAATTTTTTTATAACTTTTCCATATAATGTTATATTTCATTTAATGATTGTCTTTTTTTACCCTACCGAAACCATATATTATATATTTTGCCTTATTTAATGACAGTCTTTGCGTTATTATTATTTTTTTTAATTTTTAAATGCAAGCAAATACTCCCCTATGCTCCATCACATAATGAGTCCTTATTTTTTTTTTTATTTGATTAAGCAATTAATAACAATTCATATTTTTACTTATATGATTCTAAAAAAAGAGATAAAGAGAGATAGAGGCCTTTTATGATAAGAGTAAAAAATTAAACTTAAGGGATGCTAATAAGATTTAAATAAAGAAAAAATAATTCCCTTTTAAAATATAAAAAAAATGACCACTACTAATTTAGAACAAATTTTGATAAAAAAGAAATGTCTACTATTATGAAACAAAGGGAGTAG